ACCTACATGGTACTTTCAATTGTAGTGACTGTATAAAGCGTTTTTGGGGCAATATTATTATAACGACTACTTATTTTGTTAAAGGGTATAACAGAAAATACCCTTTATTACCTTTATTGGTGTTGCTCAATTTCTCACACATAAAAAAATATTCGAGCACACTTTGTATGGAGGAAAATGCACCGCCAGCAAAAAGACTTAAAAAATATCAACGCAAATATTTAGCCGTTTAACACTTGAACAATATTAAACTAAAATTGAGTGGGCTATATAACTGCACTTTTTCTAGAAATTCGAATTAAAAAGTTTGAAACTTCGATGACCATTTTGTGATATTTGTCGCACTTTTATAAATAGTGTACAAGGTTCGACTCTGAGTTGCATGGTTTTCTTTGTGGTATAAACAATATATATATAATATATCATTTTGATTGCACTGCTCCAACAGTTGCAATGGCCAAGTGAGCAAAGTACTGGCGTGGCATTCGAGGGGTCCTAGGTTGGAATCCTCGGGCAGCGGATTTTTAATTTTTTGCAAATTATTTTCTTTTTTCTTTTTTTAATGCAATTTTAAGTTTTTGTTAAATAATTATTTTTTTCTTTCTTAATTGATTTTTTTCCTTTTTTGAATAAAATTTTTTCTTTTAATTTTAATTAAGTTTTTCTTTCTTTTTGTATAAATTTTGTTATTCTTTTCATTTAGTTTTTCCGCTCATTTTTAGTTTTTATTACTTTAAAAGAAAAATATTTTCGAATATTTTAAATAAAATAAACTTTAAATAATTTTAATAATGTAAACTTAACTGTTCTACCATGTTTAAAGTTTTTCTTTTATTGCTAAGTTTTGAAAACGTATTGCTAAGAGACAAACAGAATAATGCTAATACCTCCTCGCTAGCAAATCTTTCAATTAATCTTTCGAAAGACAGAAAAGAGCTTTCAAAATTGTTGCTAAGATTGACAATTGTCTTACGAAAGACTGTGGTGAGTGGAAAGACAGTGGCGAGAATTTTCCTGTTAATAGTTACCCAAAAAAGTCACTCTAGTAACGATTGCCACTGTTGGTTGTTTCCATCCAAACTTGGTTGTTTTTCTTTTATTTATTCTAATTTGGTTGTTTAGTTTTTTCTCTGGTTTGGTTGTTTTTTTAATGAGAAGTTAGAAAACTTTTTCTTTACAAAAAGTAAAATTGTATACGGAATGTCAAAAATTAAGAAATGAATTTTTCAAAATACTATTTTTAATTTAACGTGTTTTATATCCACATATAAAAAGTAAATATGTGATAGAACGCACAAGTATCTCAATAATTTTGGTTTTCCGAAATAGCAGCTATAACTTCTGCCAAAATGTAAATTAATGTTGGTTTTCTACAAAATTTTCATAAACAAAAAACGCCCTCAAGCTAAATAAGTAAGATGAAGTTTTTTTTTTTTTTTTTTGTAATAAGTTTTGCTTTTTCTAATAGATAAGTGGATAAGTAAAACAATGGTTCCGACACCATAGACCTTCTAGGTATTTCCAGGCGAAATACTGTCCAAAGAGATCGTGGTGAATTTAAAGTTCTTTAAAGCTTTGCACCATTTTGAGATCCATGCAGAGACTGAAATGATAGTTGGCTAGGCAATAAACGGACTATACGGACGACGCAAAGCATCAGTAAATTGTTCCCGAATCAATAAAGATATGTGTGGTTTAGCCATATCGTAATGGAGGAAAACGCCATTTTGTTGATTAATTTGGGCCCTTTGTATTGAATCGCTTGCTTTGATCGAATTTTTCTCTTGTCAATAGACAGTACAACCAATGCGGGTTTGGCCGCGGTTAATGAAACTTTTAGGGTTTCGGCTAAGATCTTTTTGCCCATAATTTACGTATGATATTAACTCTCATCAATAGCTTTGAGAAATGGTTCCGCTAAATCGGCTGTTTTATAAGAGATTGCGTTTTCCGATTGAAGTTAAACGGTCACAAATGGGTAAAATCTGGCAACGCCATTATCAATTGTGCTCAATTCAGTTTGCCATTTCTGCCTCTAAATTATTTTCTCACATGTTACATGAAACCTTGGAGGCCTTGACAATATTGTGCGAAGCGTTGCCGAGATGGGGACCGTATCTTTCATTGAAAAAGTCGTCGAAAATTTGACTTTCAAAATGTGCCACATCTGAACTAGCTACGGTGCTCACATCATCGAAATTATATTCAAACACTAATGGCATAAGACTGCCGGCCGCTGTGGTGTAGTAGTAAGCAGTGCGCGCTTTCACTCATCAGCACCTGGGTTCAAGCCCTGGTCAAAGCAACATCGCAAAATATATAGAAAAAGGTTTTTTCTTAACAGCGGTCGTCCCTCGGCAGGCAATGGCAAACCTCCGAGTGTATTTCTGCCATGAAAAACAGCTTCTCATAAAAATGCAATCGCCGTTCGGAGTCGGCGTAAAACTGTAGGTCCCTCCGCTTTGTGTGACAACATCAAGGCGCACGCCACAAGTCGGAGGAGAAGCTCGGCCAAACACTAACATATGTGTAAGCGCCAATCTATTATTATTATTATTAATGGCATAAGACTATATTCCTAATAAGGTCAATTTTCAGTTTGATATATATATAGGTAATTAGACTGCATCACTCCCCATACAAAAAAATCTGTACTGTTTTATACAATCTATTATATTTTAAGACGCCAGCCAAAATATTTCGGAAAAATATTACGATTGGAGTTTTTTATGAACAAAAATAGTTTCTTAAAGGTGGTTTTTGAAAAAATCACCTCAAATGACAAAACGGTTTAAGCTTAAAAAATTTGCAAACTTTGTTTTCACGGCGTCAATTCAAATACATTCATCAAAAAGATTAAAATACCACATTGTAGAGCAAGAAATTCTGTACATAATTGCAATAGGAAGTACTACGCTGCGATTTTTCACTTACGCGTAATCGATTAGTAAATTCAATGCTTTTTTTATGATGCATGTATGGACAGGAAATAAAGTTATCTCCACGTACGCTGACCGTCCGCACCGATTTTGGCGGGACAGTACCAATTTTGAGAAAATTGTCCCGATTTTTCACGTTTGTACCGATTAAATCCCGATTTTCAGTGTTTTTTTTTATTAACCCTTTGAGGGCCGATGCTGCGCATAGGCAACATTGACATTTCGATTTATAAATCTTGTTGTTTGGATTAATATTTTAAAGGTTTGTTTTAGTTGATACTTTAGAATGTTGTGAAGGCAAAAAGATGAACCCGGAATGCCACGTATACATATTTGGTTTTCAAAGGAAAAAGTAACTATTCAGGTGAAGCGAGAAATCTTAAAAAATACCTTACAATAATATCTAAAAACTTTTAATTTTTTCGGATCTGGAATTTACGAATGGAACTTTTATATACATGACTAGGAAACACCTCCGAAGGAAGCTTTTAATCACGTACCTATGCACCTCGCTATTTTCGGTTCTTATTCAATTTTGTATTACAAATTGCCTGTCGAGAATAGTAAGGTTTGAAATCGATACCCGATAGGCTTTTCGCCATTGAATCGGAATCAGGAACCACAATTTAAAAGTTGTCACTTCCAACCTCAAATTTTTGTATAAATGTAGGTTTTTTAAGGTTAGAAAAATAAAGACAAATAATAGAAGAATAATTGACTAATGGCGAAAAAACAGATTTTAGACGTTTGGTCGGTTTTCTGTCAAATTTCAAACAATTATTTAACTGAACTCCCTATTTGTTCTTTCCAGCCAAATTTTTTTGACTATGATTCAATTTTAAATAATTTGCAAATCAACTTACATTCTAAATTGAAATATTTTACTTTGAAATGAATGGCATTTATGTACGTGTGCATTTTATGTAGATGGCATCCCTTTTTTAAAACTTTCATGAGCCAATGGGCCGTATGATTAAAAACGAATGGTTGTTTCGTTTCTACCAAAAAATGTCGCCTTTTGATTGCCCCTTTCTCTTTTCGTTTCTTAAAATGTCACACTCTTGTAAGGCAAAAAAGGCACATTCTCTGCCCTTTGTAAGAGGAGATGGTTGCCCTGAAAATCAGATGGTTGTTTAAAACGAAAATATTAGGAAATGCGCGATCTAGACAATGGCAAGGAGGCAAAGACATGCCTTTTTAAATGGTTGCGTGTAACATAAAACATATTTTACACCGGGGAAGGGCAACATTTTTCGGAAGAAACGAAATCACCATAAGCAATTGCTCTTACTTGAATATATTTCAATAAATTGAGTAAAAGGTCTGAAATTTTAAGAAAAAGCAATTGCTTGGTTCTTATTCATAAGGCTTCGCATGCAAATGCCACAAAAAAAAAATTCATATACCAATAACTTTGCATGCAAATACCACCAAAAATAACTTTCATGTACCAATAGCTTTGCATGCAAATGCCAACAAAAAAAGTACTGCATAAAATGCATACAAATTTCGCTGAATGAGAAAAAACCATTTCGACGAAGCCAATGATCGTCTGCGCTATAACACGTTATTTTTGGTTTTCAGATTTACGTACGTACATACATATATGTAAATCAGTAAGTATAAAACATGAAAAACACAAACTCTTAGTACGCATAAAAATATAAACTTAACCAAAAAATTAGTAATTCACTTCAGTGAGTGTTTCAAAATGCAACGAAGGATGAGGTTACAAACCAAAATATGTTGTGTTATGCAAAAACCATAATGGTTGATGAATCAAAACAAATTCGAAAGAAATAGAAATATACATATATGCAGTATATTATAGGATAAATGAACACAACAATGAGCTGCAGTGACAAGAGAGAATGTTTGGGGTGATGTAACTGCTGATTTGTACAAATAAATGCAATTGATTATTGGTGATTGTTGTTGTGTACGTGTGGGAGTGTGTGTGTGTATGTGGCTGGTTAGGAATGATATATTTGTTTTTGTATTCTTGCTTTTCTTTTTTTTTTTTTGTTTATTTAGTAATGGCATTTTGTAATGAATTCTAACCCGCTTCTTGCTGCCACCGAGTTGCTTCAACTCGCCATTCGGCTGTCCACCGACGACGCCACCGCCTACAACCGTCACTACGCCGCCGCTGCCAAAGCTGCCGTTTGAGTTTAAGTTGAGACTATTCAAACTAGTTATACTATTACTGGTGCCTGTAATGATTCCATGCTTATTGTTGTTGTTGTGCAACATAACGACAGCCGCAGCGGATGCTGAATGCACCATTGCTGTTGATCTATCAACACTACCTGATTTTGTGAGTTGTTGTTTTCCACGTTTGCCATGTATCGGTGTGCCACCATGACCACTATCGACGGTCGCAACATCATCATCATCATCATCTTCAACGTCAGCGTCAATGCCATTAATAGCATTATCGTCGTTGCCGCTATCATTTTGGGAATTAAAATTAAGCTTATTTGGACTATTAGTAAATTCATCACAATTCGTTTGTTCGGTTTGATTCGAAAGCACGGACGCCGACAGTGCAGGACTGCTGTGGAAGTTGGATCTTTTCAAGCTATCACCACCAATAATGGTAACATCACCAACACCAACACCACCATTCACACCATTTAGGAAGATATCGTTTTCATGGCAACTGCTATTGTCCGAATCAGCGCCGTCCTTGTTAACATCACAGCCATTTTTATTATTAGTATTTTTTAAATGATTATTATTGTGTTTGCGTTGTCGATGCGACATTTCGGGATTTGTGTTTTGTGTGACGACAGCGATGGTGGTGGCGGTGGTGGGGGTGCAGCCGCTGCTGATGGTGGTGGTGACGCCAGCGCCACGCTCTAGACCCTCATCTTCTTTGTCTGAGTTGCTGTTTTTGCGCTTGGCATCGGCATCATCGTATTTGCCGTGCTTCTTACGCATCAACTGTGTGGTGCAGGCGTAGCATAAACGAACATTGCAATGTTGCGTGCGTGGTTAACGGGCGGTTTTTTTTTTGTTGTTTAAATTTCAATATTTATGCATAATTAAATTATTATTATGATATCGTAATTTTTTATTATTCATTTTCATTAAAGAATTCGTGCAACAAAATGCATCCGTATCGAAAAAAGAGAGAAAAATATCAAAGAAAAATACATATTAAAACAATCCGTAACATTTCTGATTTCTGCTTATCATTAAAATTGTTGTTATAAGCAGTTTTTGGGCTAATGAATTTCGTTAGTTGGAAAAGAATTTTCGCTTGAATTTTTGATATTTTTTTGTTGCTATTTACTGACGGCTGCAAAATCAAGTTTATAAATTAAAGAAATATTTAAATTATGGATTAACTGTAAAGGTAAGTACATTGATAAGGCAGATATGTGTGGTACTTTTGCAGAGTGGCGCGCAAATTGAAGCCAAATGAACGTGCGATTAGTCACAAAGTTTGATTAAAATATAGTAGTGTGTACCCAGTGTAACGAATATTGCTCTATGAAACCTGAAATTTTGGATTTATTTATGTTTTAATATTACTAATTGGCAGCTTATAGCAAGTGAATGTGTAACATAAAACCCGATGAGAAGGCGACTGAATCCCTTGAAGACCTCAAATTGACGGGTGCTGTAACACTTTTCAGTTGTAACCTAGGAACTTTTAATTGAATGGGTTTGCACCGCGCATGTGCTGCGAAACTTCACACTGCAAGAACATACGTTAAGTAATAAAACCATTTACCGCAAAACATCAAGACCCACCCTACAAATTGAAGGAGACTCGGCTAAATGCTTAACAAAAATGTGAGCTTTCAATATTTTATTTTTATTTTTTTTTTTCTTTTGGCTTGCCCACTGCGTCTTCAGCTACAAAACTCGAAAAATACACTCAGAAAATTCGGTGTCCACTTGTGTAAGAGTGGATTGCCTCAGGGGTAACTATGGTTGACTTCGAAATGGTTTGACCTATGTATCTATAATAAACTACATCTTTCACATTGCGCCCGATGCAGATACCTCACTTTGATTGCGATTGACCAAGTCGCTGTATCCAAGATTTTTTGTTTATTTGGTATTCTTGAATTAGATACATTTTTCTAGCAGTATTCACAAGTGATTTTCATTCCCGTCAACGTTGCCTAATTGGTACAAATCCTTGCAATCGATTGGAAAAAAATACTTCCCAGAAGATAATTTGGGTAGGCCTGCCTAAGTGAAGCCATTCTTAGAGGCTTACCCGAGAAGCGCCGAAAAGCGGCTTCCCTGCAAGTCTTCTACAATTTGGGCGAATGTATAAGTTTATATTATTAAGCATTTAAAATGAATTTCAAAAGGCATTTTATGTTGCAATAAAACATATTTCATATCAACCTCAAAAAAAATACGTAAAGGAAGTATGATTTTTATAAATTAAAGTAGCAGCTTTAGAAGAACTCGTCCCTCCAAATGGTTTTCTAAAGTACATCCTACAAAATCCCTTCGGAAGCCCTTCTGTGGGCAGCGAAAGCAGAAGCCCTTCTATTTGTACCACTCAATACGAAACAGAAAGGAGAAAGGAATGCAGTGAAAAGCTTGTTCACAGGAACAAAGCAAGTAATATACTACGTTTTGAAGCTATGTAACGCTACTTTAAAACGCATTTGCAGTAATAATTTTGCCAACAGTTGTAAATGCTTTAAAACTAATAATATAATATCCAATAGTTTATTTCCTTTGAATTTAACTTGTTTAGGGTGCCGGCCCGTGAAATATTTTTTTACGTATTCTAAACATTATTTTGCGTTACTACTGAACACACAAAAACGCGGTGACCGCCGGCGGTTCTTTTCCATAGTCATGTCCCTGTTTAAACCCTTGCTTTACCCGGAGGAGGTTAAACACACAATTCTTTCAAATATGTAAAAAAAATTATGAATCTGAATTTGAATAAAAACTATGCAGCCCCTGGTATGTTAAACAAGAAAATAGTATTGCCTTTTTTAAGAAAAATTAATGGCTTAGTTTTTGAAGGAAGGCTTGAATAAGTAACATAAGTTTTGTTAAGTTGAGATAACTTTTTTTTTTATTTCGAATGTCATATAAACATTAGGAAGAAATGCATTTATCAGTTCTAAAGGACCAAATCTCTTTACTTTTTACTACGTTTGAACTTATGAACTCAAATGAGAGAATATTGATTTGAAATGACGCCATAATTAAGTGAACAGGGATTCGAAAATTAAGCCTTATTATTTACAGCTTTTTTTGTTGATGAAATAATATAGAATCCATTTTATGACATTTTTCTATCCCAGTGCAAAAGCTAACTAATGTTTTTTGTACAGCGTAAATGATAAAATCTTTTATTAACTCAGCATTGTTGTTGCCCATCGATAAGAGTGCAAATACATACAAGTGTATGTATGTATACATCTATATGTACATATATCTGTATTATTTTCTGTGTATACATAAGTTAAATAAATAATATTTGTTAATAATTGTGCGCAATATGCGCTTTTCTACGTCTGCCCAAATGTATATATGTGTCTGTGTATGCGCAATATATTTTTCCATATGTAAAGAGCGTGTCAGACGTGGCAATATTTCTAACTTTTCCACGCAATTCGCTGTCAGATTGAGGAAGAGAAATTTTATTTCGATGTGTGAACAGCCAGAATGACCTTTCTATCACATTTCGGAAATCAATTTCTGAAATAAAAGTTGCAAGATTATACTGCAATTGAGAGAGCGCAAATCGATTTCGGAAATATATTTCAACTTGCTCGTACTGGACTAGCAAATCTGCAATTCGCCTTTCGGAAAAAAAACCTCTTTCGAAAGACGCTTTACATGCAAGGTGTGACTGCCCATGCAACTGCTTTCTGAAATTTCTTAATTTGACAGCCTTTTCGAAAGATATTGCATTGCCACGCTTGACAGGCTCTTAAGGGTTTGTATGGTGTGTGCTTCATGCGCTGAATGATGAAGTGATCGTAGTTTTGTTAACTAATAAAGATAGTTTTTTGCATTTCATTTGGTCTATTTTTTTTTTTTTTAATTTTCAGGCAAAAATAATACTATATATTAAATGAAATTGAATGCAAAGGAAGTTTACAAACAAAAAATAAAAACAAATATGTAAATATGTACATAGTCCAAGGGTAATTAACTAAAAGTAATTCAAAGAAAAATGGGCAAAGCTAAAAGCTAGCTAAAAACAAATTTGAAATGGTGTTTAAATAGTAACTACAGGCACTGCCTTTTGTTTTTACATTTTCATTTCACTTTTTCACTACAACCCCACTCACTTACCTCATCTTCACGTTTACGCAAAGTCGATTGCACCTCCTCAAATTCCTCCTGCGCATCGCTGTCCTTCATGAAATAACCTTCATAGATCATTTTCAAGCCGAATATGGCAAACAACGCCGTTGAAATGTAGTATGTATAAATCTTAGGAATAATGGTAGCTGCCATGCCGAACACCACCGAGAGTACGGTCATCAGCGCCAGCGCTGATATGGCGCCAGCAAAGACGATTAGGCGCGGATGGCGCATCGCCATTATGGCAGCAATGAAGAAAGTCTTATCACCTAATTCAGTAAATAATATTACTGATATCGATGCGGAGAACGCATCGATAAAACCGGAATTAGTTTTAGTTTCCTTGGTGGCATCACTTTCATTCAATTCATTGTCTGCATTTCCATTTACGGCATCTTTCATAAATTGCGTGTCATCGGGGAAGGCCTATAAAAAGAGATGAGCATTGATTATTAGTGGATTTCGTAATTATTTAATGTTGATTTTGTTGCACTTACGCTTGGTACACCTAGTGTTGCAACACTTTCATCTATTTCTCTGCGTGCTACCTCCGCCTGACATATGGTGGAGAATGTCAATACGGCCATTAATGCTATGAGCATTTGCAATCTGGCGGAACGTTTGAGATAAACATTATGTTTGGTGGTTTGCCAAAAGTATGACTGATTTTGTGACATCTTTTGGCGTGTTTGTTGGTATTTTAAATTTCTTTAAGAAGAGGGTGTCGATAATTGTATGTGTGAGAATATTACAATTTCTGCTTTACACGTGTTATTATATCACAGTTCAAAAATAAATTTGCTAATTTATTCCGAAAAAGCGCTGCTTCAATTTGTGAGTCCAATTGCGACAAGCAACTGTAATGAAATGAAAAACAGTTAAGTATAATTAGTTTCAGTTTTGAGTTATTTGATAAAGAAAATTATACATATTTGGTCTATTTAGACTGACTACTTGACAAAACATGAGATAGGCGTTATCTTTTTTGCTTAAGCGGTGATAGCATCTGCCTGAAGATAACTTCTTTACGCTGATAATTTATGCTTGTGTTATGTGGCGTGGAAACAAAATGGTGACAATAGACGATGATAAAACACGCTGTTTTGCGAAGGAGTCAGTCACGTAGTGGCTGGATAAACAATGAGATTTTCTTACAATCTCATTAACCGCGAACAAGTTGTTTACTACGTTTTATGGGAATGTATGCAAACATCTGTTTTTTTTTATAAGCGCGCAATCTTATCTGACTTCAGGGAGTGTATTTGGCAATTGAAGTGGTTTACATTTGTATGTATAAGTAATATACATTAGACTGACTCTTCTCTATAAATAAAAAACATTGGTTTGTTTCTGCCCTAAACGAAAGCTGCTATTTTAAGAAACCACAACAAACAGGTAGTGCGGGTCATAAGTAAAGCAAATTCTAAATTATTCTTGTCGTAACAGCAGGCAGTTGTTATCACCTTCTCTATGCCTACTCGGGAGAGCCTGGGATCTGCCGCATTCTAGGCTTGTATGTGCTGAGACTGGCTTGCACTATGTCGCGGTGTAAGTGTGTATGTACATAGTACATATGTATGCATATTAGACTGCATTACCAAAAAAAGTTGCGGTTTTCCGGCGAGATAACAAAATTTAATATATTCTAAGGCTTCTACTAAAATATTTCGGAAAAATATCAAGATTTACGTGAGCTGGACCGGTTTGAAAATACCTTTAAAAATGGAGTTTTAGTATCTTAAGGGGTTTTTTGAAAAAAATCCCCTCAGTTGACAAAACATTAAGCCTAAAAAATCTACATAAAGGTATTAAAAAATTGTATCAACGGAATAATAATAATGGGATTTTCGATGCTGTTTTTTTTTAACTTTTTTCAAAGATTTATGTAAGAAAAACTTGAATACCTGCTCCAAAACTTTACCGGTATAGACTTAAGAGGTATCAGTTGAAATGTATTTCCCACCATTTTTATTTCTTTGCAAACAGACTCATTCACGTCCAATTTTTTTCTTTACCTCTTACCTCTTAATCCAACGTGGAATGACACTCGTTTATCTTACCTTCCTCCTTCATACTTTGAATGAGCTTATTCGCAAAGAAATTAAAAGGGTGAGAAGATACCTTACCAGTCTTTAAAAAAAAGATCAAAAACAGCATCAAAAATCTCATTGATTCCATAGACAATTTTTTTTTAAATATTTTTATGAAAATTTTTTTAGCTTAAACTGTTAAGTCATCTGAGGTAATTTTTTTTTCAAAAAATATTAAAAAAAAAAACTTTTTTAAATAAAAAGAAATGAAAAAATTTTTGGAAGTATTTTTAAATTGGTCCTGCTAAGTAAATCTGCATTTATTGGCCAGATCTTTGGTGTACTGTTTCTTTGACAACGGTAATATGGCTAAGACATCCTAATGCAAACTAGTGATCAATGAGACACGTTGTTGCTGTTAGCGATATTCGAAATTTCAGCATACTCCGTTTGTGTTGGGTAGCATTGCAGTCGATTCTAGTGTCGTAAGTGTTCTACGTGGGTACACTCATTCACCATAATTGTAACATTGCTCCAAATGATTGGCTAACTTTCCCTTATCGGTGAAACGACTTAAATCAATTAAAAGTATCGCGAACGTAATTGCACGCAATTACACGATTCAAGTCAAGGACATTGGCTTAGCAACCGCAAATACATATGTATGTACATATTCATATGTATATTTATGTATGTATAATTGTGTACATACATGCATACATATATGGATATCTAGTGCGATACATTCTGAATTTAAAAAAAAATATATACAAAATTAGTGACTTATTAGCCTCGCTTGTACTCGTATACAAACAGTACAAGTAGAATGTGTTATTAAGCTACAACTGAGTATTAAACAACACATTTTACGCTTATAAAAGTACAATCGTTAAACGAGTTTCTTAAATACCTAAGCGCAACACAATTACCACAGCTAGAAAATCTTGTTATTATTCTAATGTTTATACTTTTTCTTAAATACATTCGTGAAGGGTACTCTAAACGCCAGTTAACCCCACCAGAGCTTAGAGATGCCGACTTTTTACTTATGTAGTTTTTTTTTTTTTTTTTTGCATTCCAGTTCTGCTTGGTTTGTTATCACGTAATTGTTTTCGCTTCTGTTAAACATACTATACAACATACATATATCATGTATGTACATAAATATGTATATATGTACATATGAACTCATAAACTAAAGCATTCAATGGGAAACGTAATTGTAAAAGGAAAAATATTATTAATATGCAATCTCTAGAATAGCGAGCTTTTAGATCTTTTGAACCAAAATATTTTTTAGGTGATCTTTCCTGAGTTTCAGTTTCTCTAATTTATTCATGAAGGTTGCAACACTGGCAGAAGAAAATCAACGTCACAAGATATTTAAATTTTAAGGTAATACCTACATACATATGTACATATAAATAATAAAGAGAGCGGCAATTTTTGGCACTATCTTCCCGAAGCCTATTGACTTGGCCAATTCGATTAGGCAGTTACAGTGCCAAAGATCTTAGACCTGCGACAGTAGCATCTATGTAACAGAACTTAACTTAAATCTCCCCTTGGAAAGCCACTTACAGATATTTTACTTGAAGATTTAGCTATTTGTAGGACAGTATTAGAAAGAAATATACAAACTAGTTCAATAGTAATTCTGGGAAATGTTCTCAATAGTATGTTAGTTCGAGGCTGTATAAGAAAAGAGGAAAGACTAAGGAATTTAACGACATGATTCTCTTGCTCCTGCTGCTGTAGGGCTCTCAGGCGAGCCTCGACCTCACAGATCCCTTTCCGGAACCCAACTCATTCTTTCAATAACAATGGTACTTCAATAACTTACAGAATATTTCGTAAGTTAAGTTTTTTACGCGACTGTAAGCAACTAAACCTTTCAAATGGCCCGTAACGCTCGTATTCACTTCAAATGAAATGTGACACAGCCCAAAGTAATTAACAAAATGCGGATACGTGCTAAATTTACAACGCAGATGTACATATAAACGCTTTCATAATTCATTGTGTTTAGTTTGGTTGAAAAAATTGGCAAATGCGCTGTGCTACCCGGTCCACTTTTTGTTTAAAGGAAGCATTAGAGCACGATTGCTCACAAATCTCAGTCGCCCATGTACATTATCGATTAACTTTCCGGATTTTCAGTCTTACTTGATTTATGTGTACGTACATACATATGTACATATATTCCGCACTGCAAGGCTGGTTGTTTATTTTAATTTTTCTTGAGAAAGTTAAAAAAAAAAAATAAGCCAAATTCAATTTTAAATTGTTTTTGTGGTCCGCTACAAGGCCAATTTTAGTTTTGATTTGTTATTGCCCGTCCGCGTCTGATTTATTTTTAAACATAAACGAACAACAAAGACACTTAAATATTATATTTATTTAATCAATGTATTTCGCAGTGGCAGAGAAAGCAAAAATTAACCATGTTCTTGATTGGATGGGTGGCCCGGCGCTAAAAGCTCTTTGACTTTGCCAGCGTCACTGCTGACGTAAATGGCAAGCGATACACACTTTGAACGTTTGTTAATAAGCGCAAATTATATCGCTTTTTCAGTAGAAACAAGATTTTTTTAACTCTTTTAGTACACAGGTGATTAAATTAATGAAATAGGCTTTTTAATCGATTTTTTTTATGATTCTACAAGAAAACCTATATTAAACGCTCCCACTTACTTCGACTTTTTTTCTCCTACTAAAAAAAACGTCAGTTTCAGCGTTGCCAACACATGTATTTTAAAGCGCTGCCAGATCTGTTTCATTCACCAAAGAACTTGACACATACATTTTGGTGGAAAAAAATGTTGGCGAGTGGCAACCATGGTCCAAACAGCTGTTTTAATCATATTTGACATTTCCCAGCAATGCAAAATTCTCTGTGCAAAACGTTAACAAATTTGTTTTGAATCGCGACTTGGCTGGCGAAAATTTTTCTTTACGCTATTTTTATTAAAAATATTAATAAATAAATAAATGCACTCCATCGCGTTTCATGTAGTCGCAGAGGAGGAGAAAAACCGATTGATTACGGAGGCCGCCGATCGCCGAAAATCGCGTGATGCCATGAATAACAGTGAGACGCCCCAATCTTTGTAAGTCGCTACTTGGTTTCTGCTCGTCCAGTCAAAAACAGCAATTCAACCTTTGTATTACTCCACGGATCTAGCCTCGTTAATTTTTGTAATCATTCTCAACGTTGAGGAGGAATCTTTTTCAGGAGGATAAAGCGAGTATTATTTGAAGTTTCTTTTGACGTGGTTTGTTTTAGAAACAGCAAGAAAACAAATCAATTTTTGAAAAAAAAAATGCCTTGATTGCAAAATTTTTCACTGGGCGGCTTATAATTATAAATCCATTTTCTCAATTACATACGTACATTAAATCCATGTTAAGTATTACGGATAACGTTTAATCCTTTAATTTTAGGTCGAAAAAAATAAATAGGCATCAAATCGAAATATTAATAACCCTAATGGAAGCCAGGCCGGACATTGCTCGTGGCTTTCATAAGGGCCACAATGATGAAGTTTCCCGGTTTTGGCGGAACGCAGAAGCGGAACTAAACTCTGCAGGTCCACCACTAAAAAATATTACTCAATGGAAAAAGGTCTGTAAAGTGACTAAAAGTATAGTTTTCGCTTGAAGTTATCGTCTTCCTCAATTTATGTAGGTGTGGACCGACCAAAAAAAATATGTGCGTCACAAGGCGGCGCAAAGTTTTGAAGCCAGAAAAAGCTCGGGTGGTGGTCTAAACACCCAACAGAAACTTTCTCCCAATGAGGAGGCAATATATAAACTTATTGGAATGAATGAGAACGTTGAACGAATATCTGCATCTATTTTTGGATTGTCGCCTTCAAGTGTGTCTAAGGTCATGACAGAAGAACCTGAGCGCGACGAGCCTGACAACATAGAGCATTCGGAGAGAACGAAAATAGAGATTTGCGAATCTCAAATTAGTTCACCCGTCACAGTCGACGAGCGTACGCCTTCACCGCCACCAGTATATGTAGCTCCAGAAAAGAAACTAAAGTTTCAGAAAGGGTTGTTAGAAACTGTTACTATGGCAGTAAACAGTTCAGTAGAGCATCATGAAGAACAGAAACGGCATTTCAGGGAAATGGAGCGGCTTAAAAAAGAAGAAATAGCTGAAATGCGGCGACACAATAACCTGTTGGAGCAGTTGCTTAAGATGTAAATCTAAAGTATTTTTCTTTATTATATTTGTAACAGTGAAATGTATTCGAATACATATTTTTTTAATAATTTTTATTTCGCAGGTCTTCATATTGTTGTACGCTAAATACATTTGAGTACTTTTGCCCGTTTTCACCTATCCATTCTTCGCAATGGCTTTCCGCTTTCAACATGCTCTATTAAACTCGTTACTGCCACAGTAACGGTGTTTCTAATAACTCTTGTTGAATCTTAGGTTCAGATGTTTTCGCCGATGGTTTCTTTCCAGTACGTCGCAGGTGGCCTAATTTGAGATTTGTGAATATCTACTTCTGCTACCTCCAAATACTCCATGCAGTCAGGCCCGTAACGCTCAGGTTCTTCTGCAACCATCTTATTTTGTCGGCAGAGCCTTTGCTAGAGGAATAGTTATGCCAAAAAGCACATACATAGTAACAAAGATTTTTTCTTTTTTTTTAAGTATTTTGTTTCGAATGTATTTGCAGCACAGGCGCACTGGAAGTTGGCAATCTTAAAGTTCATCCCAATGAGCTTTAAATCGCTTCCCTATTGGGAGAAAGTTTCTGTCATGGTATAATTCCACAATGGTTTCCGTCGGGTTTTTGGGCCCCGTGCGCTTCTGATGGCTTTTGAATTTGGTGCCGCATTTTGAAGTGTATATTCAGCGTACAATAATTTAAAGATTGAATAAATTTAGATATGGATTTAAGTGATTTTCTTTTTAAGTTTGATTTAGTATAATAATAGTATTTCGTTTTTTCTAATATTTAAATAAAGACTGAAATATGTGTATGAATGTACATTTTCCGTTGTATGTATACTTTCTGTTACATTCTCGTGCCGACCTGTAGAGTAAAGCAAAAATTAAATTAAAATTCACATAATAAATGAAGTTGTTGTTGTTGTAGCGGCACTACTAAGCCCCGCCTGTTTCGGGTCAACTTTTAATCATTATCGTCAAGCTCAACTAACGGTAGGCACAGGAAACGAGCTGTTTCGATGGGGTCGGACCAAAGGGAGAGGGGTGTTAGTTGAGTCGGATTGAGCTGGCATGTGAAGAGGTGGTTGGTGTCGTGGGGGGAGTCTCCACATGCCGGGCACTCATTTGGGATGTTTGGGTCGAGTCTGGACAGGTAGCTGTTTAGGCGACTACAATATCCAGACCGTAACTGAGCCAGGGTAACGCGGGTCTCTCTAGGTAACTGAAGCTCCGTCTCTTCCACAGGTGGTGATTGGGCTCCGATAACGACATTCCTAGGCCGGGAGTCGAGGTAGGTGGAGACAGACCCCCTATGAATGTCGTTAATCGCTCGTCTGTACGTCATTGGGTCCAGTGGTTGGTCTGTGTAGGTCTGGACTGCGTCCTTGTACATGAATAGGTGCCCCCTGACGTGCCTGGGCGGAGGCTCCTCCTCCAGCAGTGGTCTGTTGGGGTGTTCACTTCTGTGACACCCCACAAGAAACTGCTTACAGAGCATCTTGTTGCGTTCCCTTACGGGGAGCACTTGGGCCTCACTGTGTAGGTGATGCTCAGGCGTCATCAGAAGGCACCCAGTCGCTGTCCGGAGTGCGGCGTTCTGACAAGTCTGTAGCTTCGTCCACTGCGTCCAACTAACCCCCGGCGTCCAAACTGGCGCAGCATAATTTAGAACCGGCCGGCCAATTGCCTTGTATGTTGCCAGCAACGTTTCTTTGTCTTTGCCCCAAGTGCTGCCGGCGAGCGACTTGAGGACCTTGTGGCGGCTCTGTACTTTGTTGACAACTGCGGTTGTGCGCGCGGAGAAAGAGAGCAGGCTATCAAAAGTAACCCCTAAAATTTTCGGGTTGTTCACCGTCGGTATGGGTGTGCCGTCGACGTGAATGCCTAATTCAAGCCTGACCTCCTTCGTCCAGGTGGTGAAGAGGGTCGCCGTTGATTTCGTTGGGGAGAGGGTTAGGCTCCTTGCAGTGAAGAAGCGAGAAAGGCTGGAGAGATAGCCGTTTACTTTTGAGCAGAGGTGATCAATTGCATTCCCAGACGCCAAAATCGAACAGTCATCAGCGTACGAGATCAGGGAAACTCCTTCAGGTGGCTGGGGGAGTTTCGAGATATAGAAGTTAAAAAGTAAGGGGGAGAGAACACCACCTTGTGGAACCCCTTGTTTTATTCTTCTTGGTTTCGAGGTTTGATCTCTGAAGATTACTGATGATTGCCGACCACTCATATAATTCGCCGACCATCGCTTCAGTCCCTGTGGGAGAGAGGAGGCCTCAATGTCTTCTAGCAGCGTGGAATGGCAGACGGTGTCAAACGCCTTTGACAAGTCCAGCGCTACTAGGACAGTTCTCTCACAGGGGCGGTTTCGATTTAGGCCACGAGTTATCTGGGTGTTTATGGCGTTAAGTGCTGTTGTTGTGCTGTGCACTTTACGGAAGCCATGCTGATGTTTCGCTGGGGTTAGGTGGCAGGTGAAGTATGGGAGCAGCAGGGCCTCAAGTGTCTTCGCGACCGGGGAAAGGAGCATTATCGGGCGATAAGGGTCTCCTCTGTTGGCGGGCTTCCCCGGTTTCAGCAGTGGGACCACTCTCCCTGATTTCCACACATCAGGAATGATGAGAGTGGTCATAGACAAATTGAGGACCTCCGTGAGGTATGCTACCCCCGCAGGCCCCAAATGTTTCAACATCAGCATACAGATTCCGTCGGGTCCAATGGCTTTGGAGGCTTTCGCCTTCCCGATGGCCCCCTTCACTTCACCGCTGGTGAAAACAAGTGGTGCATCGTTTTTGGGCAGTTTGTGCAGCCTCCTGGTCACTCGACGTTTGGCCTTGTCTAACGAAGGATGCAGTGCGAATTGCCGACTGAAATAGTTCGCGCATTTCTTCGGGTCCGATGAGGCGTGACCTTCGAATGAAATTTCCACTCTGTCATCACGCTTCGTCGGGTTGGACAAGGACCTCACGGTTGACCAGAGCTTACTCACACCAGAGGTGAAGTTACAGGCCTTCAAGTGCTCTTCCCACTTTGTCCGCTTGTGTTGATTTACTAATTGCCGAATCTCCAAATTAAGTTCCCTCAAGCGAGGGTCCCCGGGGTCGACCTGGCGTAGGTGGTCACGCTCATTTGCTAGTACAGCTGCTTCAGCCGGGAAATTTGGGCGGACTTCCGCGATGCGTCCGTAATAAATGAAGTCGTTTTATTGGGCGCGTTTAGAAATGCCCTGAGCCAAAGAATCAGTCTCTTTTATATTTATACTTATAATTCATGGAAATGTCCAATATGCGCAACCGCAGTTAAATGCCGAATTGGAACTTAGTTGCGTAAATAATTCAATTCCATTAATTATAGTTTAGAAATAAAAGAGACTGATGCTTTGGCTTGATGCATTTCTGAACACACCCTATAATATACATATACATACATTTACAGCTTATTTAATTTAATGCGGCATATTTGAGTTTGAAACCCAAGAGGGACAACGATCGATCGGAGTAACCTCGGGAGCTGCGCAAAGCTCAATACTCGGTCCAGACATGTGGAACATTCAGTACGACAGCCTACTAAGATTCGAAATGCCACAAGATATTGAACTTGTATGCTATGCCGATGATGAAGCAGTAACAGTAGCCGCTCGCGATCTCACGACGGCTCAGTGGAAGCTCAATCAGGCTATAAGAAGAATTAAAACGCGGATGGAGGACCAATATTCATCGAAAAAGAAGAAATCTCAACCTCACGATGCGTCAAATACCTCGGGTTTCTACTGGATAGTAAGCTCACATTCTGGGACCACATTCAGAGTGTGTCGAAAAGAGCATCGAAAAAGACAGCAATGCTAATAGCAAACTTATATGGACTCAAATCATGTATACGGCGCCTCTTGATGAAGACAACGGAGTCAATTTTGCTTTACGGAGCAGAAATCTGGGCTGCAGCTTAAACGATAGACAAATACCGCAGACGTCTCGCCAACATTCAACGACAAGGTGCACTAAAAGTGGCGTGCGCATATCGTATCGGTATCGGAGGAAGCCGTACTCGTACTCCCGTAAAAAAAAAACGGACTAGGCAGCAAAGGAAGCCAAAAGCAGATTACTGAGCAGAAGGCAGCAAAAATGGCAGAGTGATCAAACGGGGAGGTGGACTGCGAAACTGCTTCCGCACCTGGACCGCTGGCTAGACCGCTCACGCGGAGAGGTGGGCTATTTCCTCACTCGGTTAGGGCCTGTTCGAGGCACGTAATCAAAGCGGAAATACTGCAGCACTGATGCAAATTTGCAGAACTGTTGCAATTTCCAACTGATAAAACGTTGTTAGTAGTTCTCTCCGTACGTGATACTTCAATAATGCGCGCAACACTGCGGTTGTGATTGCATCTCGAACAAGCCCTTGTTGACTGGCCACGGATACTTTTAGAGCGTACCTGCACAAAATGGGGAAGGTGGCGAACCCACACTGCGGTTACTGCTTACATGTAGACGATGCAGAGCATACATTCTTTTTCTGCGAGCGCTGGGATGCCAACAAGCGGCGATTGTAGCGAAAACTCGGCCCCGTAGCACCCAAAAATCTCGTTTCTTAAATGAAAAATCATGAGGCACGGTCGCGACTTTCGCCGAGATCATACTGCGGCGCAAGAGCCAAGAGGCCTTCCACTCTACATTCCTTTCTCCTTTCTATTTTGTATGGAGTGCCACAAATTGAAGGGCTTCTTCTTTCGCTACCCATGGAATGCCTTCCAAAAGGGCTTTTATAGGAAGGCCTTTGGAGGAGTTCTTTTAAAGTTGCTCCTTTAATTTATAAAAATCATACATCTTTGAAGTATTTGCTTAAGGTTTATGTATATCAAATATGTGTGGTTGCAACATAAAAGGTTTATTGAAATTGATTTGTAATGCTCTATAATAGGTTCGTTCGCGTAGCTGTTAATTGTTTCTGCAAATTTTCTGTTCGCGTACTATTTGGGATATTTTTCTCTTGTGAGAAAACAGATGACATTTCGCCGGAATTTGGCAGTTGGTTGGTTTTTACTGGAGATTTTAAATGAACGCACCTAATATAAATTTATGCATTCGCGTAAATTGTAAATGGATAAGCCCTTCTAGAAGGCAAGCAAGGAAGCACTTTTTTAAGTTCTTCTTGGGTAAGCCTCTTAGAATGGCTTTACAAATAATTGCACGAGACATATATCGCTATCTTAGAAAGAAAAGTTGCTAAGTCCCATTTTAAAAATTTTACAGGAGAGGAAAAAATCTTCCTATAGCCATTTTCTTTAACTATTTCGCAAGACTTTGAATCAAACATTTTTTGCGCGTTTAAAGCAAAGCAAAACTCCATAAGAATCAGAAGGTTTCGATATTTATTAAAAGATGTCGCATTATTTTGGCCTTATCGGATTTGCGGTGCTTCTATTGGGCTTAGCAAATTTTCCTTTTATTGCTTATGAAGAGGAAAAAATAAAACATGTACCTATATAATTTTCGAAACGATGCGTATTCAATTTCTCTAGCCTCCTATATCAAAATATGAGTTTTCATAAAAAGTGGACTTAGCAACTTTTCTCTCTAAGCTAGCGATATGTAAATGCTAGGTAAACTGATTTTGCGGGTAGATACATTTCGAGTGTGTTTTGCAATAACAAAAAAATAATTATTACAGTGTTATCTGGCTGGAGTGAACACCCGATGCTACGAACACCTCGAAAGAGTGAACATGAAAATTTTTCCATTGAGTACTCTATAGAGTGAACAATTTTGAGTCTTTGTAGAGTGAACAAAATTTAAAACCAATTCCTTCCAAATTCAAAACTGTAACGACAAATTTAATGACAAAAAGGTTAATCCCTTCGCCAGGCCGACCCCGTAAATCCCCGTATCAGGGATCTCAACTCGGAGATTCGGCAACTAGTGAACGTACATAAGCGGAAGAAGTGGGAAGACCATCTGAAGACCTGTCACTTCGCCTCTGGTGTGAGCAAGCCTTGGTCAACCGTGAGGTGATTGTCCACCGGGGAAACCGTCCAACAAAGGAGAGTCTTCTCGCCCGATAGCTCACCTTTCCCCGGTAGCGAAGACACTAGAGGCCCTTCTACTTCCGCACTACACAAATCACTGGACCCCAGCGAAGCATAAGCATGGGTTCCGTAAAGTGCACAGCACAACAACAGCACTTGACGCCATAAACTCCCAAATAATTCGTGGCCTTAACCGAAACCCCCCATGTGAGAGAACTATTCAAGTAACGCTACTAGAAAACAAACGGTGGACTGCGAAATACCTGAGTGGTCGTCAGTGATCTTTGGAGACAAATCGATCAAACCTAGGAAAATGAAGCAGCGAGTTCAACAGGGTGGTGCCCTTTCCCCACTACTGTTCAACTTTTACATTTCTAAGCTCCCTCAACCACCAGAGGTAGTCTCGATTGTCTCTTATGCTGACGTTTGCTCGATAATGGTTATTTCACCGAGCTTTCTCGCTTCGTCACTGCACGGAGCCTAACACTCTCCCCTACAAAATCCTCAGCAACGCTTTTCACCACTTCGACGAAAGAGGTCAGACTGCAACTGGGTATTCTCGTCGATGACGAGCCAATTCCGACGTTGAATAACCCGAAGATCCTCAGAGTAACCTTCAAAAGTCTGCTCTCTTTCTCGGCGCATACAACCGCAATTGTCAATAAAGTACAAAGCCGCAACAAGGTCCTCAAGTCGCTTGCCGGCAGCACGTGGGGCAAAGACAAAGAAACGTTGCTGGCAACGTACAAGGCAATTGGCCGCCCGGTTCTGAACTATGCAACGCCTGTGTCGCTATCGGGGACTAGTAGGACGCAGTAGATGAAACTGCAGACTTGCTAAAACACGGCACTCAGACAGCGACAGGATGCCTTCTGATGTTGCCGAAACACCACCAGCGCAACGAGGCCAATATGCTCCCGATTAAGGAGCATAACACAATGCTCTGCAAGCAATTCCTAGTAGGGTGTCACCCGGGTGTTAGGTACCCGAACAGACATCTGCTTGCGGAAGAACCATCGCGACGGCACGTTAGAAGGCCGTCTGCCTCGGGAGACTCGAACCCCATAGCCCAACCTCGATCGGGCTACTGCAGCAGGTTGAACTCATACTTGAGCAGAATAAATGCTGATGTGCCAAATGAATTCCCCGCATTCGGAGAAAAGCCCCATGACTCGCAGCATCTCTTCACATGCCCACTAAACCCCACCCTGCTAACGCCTCTGGCCTTATGGACAGACCCCATCGAGGCTGCACGCTTCCTGGGTCTACCGCTAATAGAGCTTGACGACAACGATACAACATCCACCGGAAACATGTGTTGGCATTAGCTGAGGGAAAAGACGACATTTCCGAGTACTTAAAAATTTAACTTCAAACGACGTACTGCGCAATAAAATTGATTTTAAAGAACAAAAAAAACTCAATCTGGATATAGTGAACAATCTGCATTTTATGAACTGGTCTTGCATTAATTAGTTCACTCGACCCAGATAGCACTGTATTTAAAGATTTCTGATTCGTGTAGTGCATTCTTTTAGCTATTAGATAAACATAAACCGAATCAGGTATGCTACTAGCCTATTTTTGAATGACTTCGCGTCGGATCTTCGTTCCAGATCACAGTGCCAACGGCTCGTAAGCTTGTAGTGCAGTTCTAACTTTCGTTTTTGTAATTGTAAATTGAATGTTAGGCCATCTCGTTCCCACTTGTGCTGCATTATCGACATGCCGACGGAAATTGCATTTGACATAAATTAAAGGAAACCAATGCACGCATTTCCATAAATGACTTCGAAGGTCGTTTAATTAAAAAATATATTTAGAATTGCAATCAAAACAAAGTGTGATTAATACAATTTTAAAACTAACAGTGCATGTGTTTAGTGCACTCAGTGCACTCAGTTCACTTAGATCATTCCAACGCTTTCAAATCTTCTATGAATTCCTCCATACTCTTGCTGACCGTTTCCGCAAAAATACTTGTCTCAACGCCGCAGCCATTTTTCAAATTCGCTACACATGCACGAACGGTAATGCGATAGGTTTGATCTGGTTCCAGTCCTTCTAGCTTGTAGGAGTGTACATGACCTGGCACCGCTATGCCATCGAAAATTTCCTGCGCTCGACAATCGTTTTGTAGCTGATATTCCGCAGAGGCGCCGACTAGTTGGCATACAGGTCGCTGTTTTACTATAGGGAAATCATCCGGTCCAGTATCCTGCGTCTTGAGCGCAATTTCTTCCTGTTGTTCACGGAATTTATTGAAATTGCGTATTGCTTCCATGAAATTTGGATCGCCTTCCAAATCGTGGTCATCTTTGTTGGTTTTATCTTCAAGGTTATTGTTGTTCTTTTTTTCAGCTAATTTGCGCGTATTATCTGGTACTTTGCGTTTGGGCCGTATAAGTTTAGATGTGTTATCGAGAAAGGCGCTAATGGTATTGGGGGTAGTGGAAAGTTTGCCGTCAACACAATTGGTACCATTGTTGCAAGCAATTGCTTTCGCTTCGCGGCGCACATGCCTGTTATCCACCTTGCGCCTGAAATAGGAAAAGAGTTATGGTCGTCTGATGACTATTAAAAATAGCTCTGATCCAAGGCACATTAAACAGGTAGTATCAGTAGAGCAAAAACAACATTTGCGTGTATTTTGTTGTTGCTTCTGGTATCGAAAGTGTCAAAAATTGTTCTGAATTTTTTCTTCTAAATCAAAGCGTGCCATGTGAAATACAAAAAATTATAAAAAATAAAAAATTGAAATTGGAAAAAATAAAAATTGATGCAACTTTCTTTCCTAGTAAATTTGTTTGCTTCTCGAAGCATTGATCCATCCTTTGCAAGGCCCAGTAATCAGCGGTCGTGCTGCTGAGTTGGGCGAACGTTCCAAAAGCTGCTATTCAATCGCTTGTTTTATATGGAAAAAGGTTTCACATGCAAATGGATTTTAACAATTCAGAATTTTTGTGAGAAAAAATTTAAAATATTTGACATTTTCGAGACCAAATAATTTGAAAATAAATCAAATCAGCTGCGCTACTGATACTACCTGTTCAATGTACCTTGCTCTGATTCAATACTTTTCGGGAAAAATCCTGTAGAACTGTCAAACAGCAAAATTACCCTCTGAAGTGAGAGTAAAAAGTGAGTAACAACAAAAAGTACGGCAACAAAAAATCCATTTTTCCTGTAAACACGTCAACCAGTGCTTGACACTTTTCATGATTTTACCAGAAGAAAAAGTTCGGGTAAAATCTTGCAATTTCATTCTCTAAACAACTCTCCAAAAGTCGCTCTTATTTACAGGATTTTGGAGGAGTTCAGAGTACGGGAAAATTTTCCCTGCAACTTCCTGCAAGTTCGTGTAAAATCCTGTAAGTTCATGGAGTACTGAATCAGAGCTAATATGTATGTAATAACAAGTAATTTTTAAGCAAAAAAACCGACTCAAATTATATAAAAATTTAAGAATACCGTTAATTTCTTTATGATCCAATGATCAGATCTAAACCGAATTAGTATGGGACCACCAGTGGGCTAAGACCCCTTTCCTTTAAAAGAAGAATTATAGAGATCGATTACGTGGACCAAATTTATTCGGTAACATCTGTACATACAATAAGAAAAAAAATATTCCGATGAATTGATAACCTCCTCCTTTTTCTTTGAAGTCGGTTGAACAGTAAGTTTATATTTTATAAAAAAATTAGGAAAATGTAATACGTCGTTCCTTTTGGTCACCAAGCGCTTATGCCCTTTTTACTGCAGATTATTCCGACTTTGCCTTCGAATGGCACATTTCCGGTTAACTTTTTTTCAAACGCACAACTTTGTACATACATTAAATTTATTAATCAAGTTATTAAGTTCTCTTTTTTATTGTCTTCGCAACGGCATTTAGGAATATATCTTTAAATTAAATGCCGAGAAGAAAAATTCCCTTACAAAATATGTATCTGCCTTACAAAACGAAAATCCTAGAGGAAAAGAATCAACCAAAGATTCTGCCATACTAATTTTAAGGATCATACCTCTAAAAGGAAGGAGGAGGACCAACACAAGCTTGAAAGAGATATTAGACCTTCTTCTTCGCACATATCTTCCAGGTGGTGACTTAAATCAGTCCTCAGCAGCACCATCCATAAATCTCGGTAACCAAACTATTAGGCGGGAGAGGATCGTATGGACACAGACGCTCCAGCTCTGAATGTATTCGACTCGGAACCCACTTGGCTTCACTTGGCATTCCTAATTGGAATGAGTTGCCACAGAAGAGAAACGGCCAAATTGGCCGCTTAGGCGATAACAGCACCAAATAAGATAAGACGATTGTATGACTAATCAATAACTTCTTTCCGTATAAGTTCCCGTCCGGAATGTTTCTCGCAATGTTACAGGAAACCCAATTGCTGGAGATTCCATGGCTGGAGAGTATATTGAAGGCATGTCTAATGTTCGACCATGTTTCAACTACTTGAAAAAATGATAAAGTAGCGTTCATCCTAGACGAAGCCAGGAGAGACACTAGATAAGCAAATCGACACATGATGATAGAGAGAAGCAGCAACAACGTCACCGTTATGCGGTTAACACGAGAATCCCATAAGATAGGCCGCCAGCCACAGTGCCGCCTAGGTGGGCAAAAATCGAAAAGTTCGTTATCTGCAATGTGAACTTTTTTGGTATTTTTGTAAAGACAATTTATCCGATAAAAGAAATTAAACAGACATTTTCCTAAAGAATTAATTATATGCCGCCAGGAAGCCACTAAAGTCGACAAATTTTTTATTAAAAGTTTTAATAAGAGCACGTTGACGTTCCTTGTTTCCATATAGATAGTAGAGAATTACAGGAATTAAAATTTTGGAATAAAATTGAATACGGGGTGACAATTTTTTTAACCAAAATTTCGAAAAATACTAAATTTTAATTGAATGAATAAAAAATATATGTAAAAATAGGTCATTTTTTATTATTTTATTAAATAGTACGGGCTTTTAGCTTTCAAAGGAAGAAATAAAAACCTGCTAATTTTTGCACTTTCTGGAGTAATGCGTTTTACGCTAATGCATAAAATTATTTTTTAATTTTTTGTCGGTGCCTTGGGGTCAGCACGATTCGTTCCAATTTCAAAAAGGAATGAATGAATTAAAAAGCATGACCTGTGGACAATAGGACGTAATTTTTTTTAAAGAGTTGCCACCTTTAAAAAATTAGATTGTTAAAAAATTAGATTCAAATTTTTTTTATACGTAAATGAATTATTAAGAGATGGGTATCAATCGAAATGTGTATAACTACATGCAGCGAGTTGCCACCTGTATAAAAAATCAAATTCCACTAGAATTAAAGGAGTTAGGTAATTGAAATAGATAGGTATCACCACAAGGGAGTCAGACGAAAGAGATTTAAGAAGGTTTTAGCTTAAAAATATTACGAATAGGGTTGCCACCTGTTTGTAAAGTCCGAATTTAGTTTAACTAAAATAATAACTACACCAAACCAAAGGTTTACGACATCGTATTTGTTATTTTATAACAAATACATACATTGTCAATCAGTGATTTGTTCTGATTACTTTCCTTTTAAATTACTGGACTCTTAAATTAACCCAGGAATGTTTTTACTCTTCACCTATTTCTTGATAGATATGTGCAATTTTTTCTTGTGTCCGATATCCATATTGATATATGTACTTATTTCACTTACCTTATTCCCTTAATTAAACTGAATTTGATTTTTTAAACATGTGGCAACATTTCTACGTATCGTTTAGAAGTAAAGCATTTTCAAAACCGTTTCAATTGATACCCATATTGTACTATATAATTCATTTGACTTATTAAATAATTTTAATACAATTTGTAACAGGTGGCAACCCTTTTCAAAAATAAAAAACTTTAACTTCAAGCTGCAATTACAGTGAAAGTAAGAAAGTTATCCAAAGGTAAATTGCATTTTTGAATTTAGCGTCCTCAACTTTATTAAGAAGCGAACTTTCATTTAAATCCGTCCATAATTCTATTTTTGCCCATATTCTATATGAAAGGGAAGCACTGTGGGCCGTGCCAATTGACACGGACTACGGTTTTACATCGGTAAAGGTGCCAAAAAATATCGTATTTTTTTAAATTATGTTAGTAAATTTTGTATGGAACTGTATTTGACAGAAAATTAACAGAATATGCAAAACAGGATTTTAATGGCGATGGATGTGAAGACTTAATCATAACATTAATCGCAAAATTATCTAATCGACCGTCACTATTGGTCATACCGAGTTTGCTGGTAAATTGTATTTGAAAACATTGGACGAGAAAGGTACCTACTAGTTTTTTTTCTATTACTAGCCATAGATTGTTTTCATTAGCGAAATAACCCAAAAAAGGAGGAGGTTATCAGTTCGTCGGAATATTTTTATTTTCTTATTAATTTTTTTATTTTTTTTTATGTATGTTACTGCATAACTTTGGACCACGTCAATCGATCAGCGGATCATGATATATATATATATATAAAAATACAGTGCTGGAAAAAATTATAGAAACATACAGCTTTCATATATTTTTTATTGTTTGAAGAACTCTTTCATTTTTAACACATTCCGATTTCGTACATTTCGTTTACGTTAAATAAAATCTAGTGTTCTTTTGCAATGGCAATAAGCCATAATAAATTGTGGCCCCTTTTTTAATTTTGGCCTGGAAGATATAATAGAAACAAAGTATTATTTCTAAATAAACTAAGCTTTGAACCAAAAATTCTTAAAAAAATATTATTGTTTTAGTTGCTTATTGAATCGCCGCATTGCCTGATTACCTCTTCGCATATTCGGTGCACCGAATTGACGAAGTTTGCACAAACACTTTTCGGAATGGAATACCACGATTTTTGAATGTGGTGCCCAAATTCGTCTTTATTGCGGGCTTCAAAAGGCCCGATTCTCTTCTCTAAGTCTGCCCAAAGGTGCTAAATAGGGTTGAGGTCTGGCTATTGTGGCGGCCACTCCATAGCCTGCACTGTTTTCTTCTTTAACCACTACTTTACCAGTTTTGATGCATGTTTAGGATCATTATCCTGCAGTAAATCCCACCGCAATAGCATTTCCTCTTTAGCATAGGAAAGCCTTATCGTCTGTAATATGTTTACATAGTCAAGCGCGCACATTTTGTTCTTAATCCAAAGTATTGGACCAACTCCTTCCTTCGGGAAGCAGCCCTATACCATAATGGAACTCCCGCTGTGCTTAACCGTTTTTTCGTGTCTTGTGGATCAAAGGCTGTGTTCGTAGGACGTTTTACTATTCACTATTTTCCATCTGATCCAAACATATTACTCTTTGTCTTATCAGACTGCAGCACTTTTTCACCATTTTGACGAAAAAGATGTTTTCTGGCAAAACCAAGTGTGCTGTTTTTGTTTTTAAGGCTCAGCAACGGCACCTTTCTAGAGATTCTGGCAGAAAGTTTGGCTTCTGCCAATCTGTACGTCATGGCTCGGCTTGTGACATCGACATTCAATTCTGTTTTCAGCTTTCTTGAGGACAGAAAAGGGCTAACTTTGTAATGCCGAATTAAACGCCTTTGATCGCTAGCAGTCAGTTTTCGCTTTGCACGTCGTGTTTCTGGTTTTTTACGCTATGAAGGGCAGGGAACACCTTCGTTTTGGAACAGCCCACCATATCTACTATCTTAGTCATCGAATTTCCTTGTTTTCTTAAACTTATTATTAAGTTCTTCTCCCCTTCCGTGCAGTGTTTAGCTCGGCCCATTTTATTCATTTTAATGTTTCAATAACCTATAGTATAACTCTACTTTAGTTAACATTCTTTAAAAACGCAATTAGAAGTGCCAAAAATAATTAATTTACCTTTTGTAAAGCACCAATATTAACAAACACGTTTTGTTTCTATTATTTTTTCCAAGCGCAACTATTCAATTGTGTACTCTCTCGCACATAAAGTGGAAAGGAGACAAACAAGCGGAATATAATGTTTTGCAAAAGAACAACCTTTAACTGATATTTGTACAGGGTGCGCCATTCCAAAAAATATATGATATAATTGATTTAATATTTTTCCATAAGCTGTTTCTATTATTTTTTCCAACACTGTATATATACATATTTATATATATATATTTTTTTTTATATGAGAGTTAAAGTCGGTTTTTTTTCGCTAAAATTACTTGTTGTCATATAGCGTTGAGTGGAAATATACTATATGTTAAATAAAATAAAATTATGTTTCTACTTACGATACAAAAATTAAATTCGGCAAAGTTTCTTCATAAATTATTTGATCTTTGTTATAATAATTTTCATCCTTGGGTAGTGGACCACTGTATTCAGGGTTTATAACAACACACTCGCATGATGATGAGTATCTCAAAAATTCTGGATGATTTCCTAGAGTAACATCTATGTAACAATTGCAAAGGAAGAAAACAAAAATGTAAGAACCAGCAGCGATTTAATGCGCTGAAATAATAACTTACTATGTTTACCAATGATCACTTTTTCGTGATAGATTAAATACATCTCAATTTCGCCATTGGGCATGTGCGGTGGCCACCAGTGGAGAACCTTAGTAAATACATATGTACATACATGGAGATTTAATAAATATATTAATAATATGGTGGCAAATTTCGACATACTATTTTATCGATGGCGATTGCAGTGTAATAGACTCTCCTCACCGGTCCCGGTTTACTCGGTAGCGTACGAAAGTATTGAATTTTTGAATAGGCATCTACTTGTATGTGATAGTCAGTCATTGTTAAGGTTTTCGCAAAGTAGGCGTATTGTGTATAAGGCTTCAGATTTGAAATTATATAGCGCACATTTTTGGTGGGATTTATATCCATGCGCCAACTGTAAAAGAGTGTAACTATATATTTTAGGTTTCAAAATTCCATATATGTATGTATACATATATATGCATGTATTTATGTACATACAGTGACTCAAACAAATGTCCACGTGCTGATTAATTTTATTTTGTTTAATATATTTTTTCTATAAAAATACCATCCACGCTTTGCCCGAAAATATATAAATCACAAATTAAAACTGTATACAAAATTTAGGAAAATTCATAAAATTTTCATCAAAATTCCAATTTTTTAATCCGAATCTTTAGAACATTTTTGCGTATGCATGCAATTTTGGTCTAATGAAGTGCAAGTTTCAAACGGCTAAAAAATCATGTTCACTTTTGAGATTTTTTTTCGAGACTACTTGTCGCTAACGGTCTGCAGTGTTTTATGTCACAAAAAATTTATGTTTATAATTCGAGCTTTTATTTTTTGTCGCACAACAATTAAAATTAAAATTAAAATTGTGTTATAGTCATTGACTCTGTTTTTCTTTTCCTGTGCTTATCATTTTCTAATATTTGCTACATTATGCCCTGTTTTTGTGGCCATAGAGTTGAGCGCGCCCAAACTTCAGTGCAATGTGATCAGTGCAGAGAAATTTTCCATTTGAGTTGTGTTGTTGGTAGCCTGCCTGCCGACTTAAATAACCTAAATAATGCTGACAATATCTACATTTGTGGTTTGTGTGCTGCTGATCAACAAGACGAGTCTATGACTTCGAATAATTCTTCGTTACAACAACAACAAACCACTCAAGTGCAAGTGCCTAATTCCCACACTGCTAATGACAATTTTGCTGAGTTGAAATTACTTAACTCTAATCTTCTCTCTGCTTTGAATGTTTTGCATGAAGATAATGAGTGCTTACGACAAAAAACCGATTCCCTTCAAGCTGAGGTTCGTGACGTGCAGTGTAAGCTCAATGACAACAATTCCATTCTGTCTCATTTGCTCACACAATTTGAGAAACTGTGCAGTGTAAACAAATACAACTTCTCTTCATCTATGCACCCAGCCTCTTCTTGCATGTCAACGGGCGCTAATGGCTCTGCCGACGGCGCCGCTAAAGAGGCCGGGAGACTTTACAATCAGATTGAGACTGCATCCGCTACTCTTCTACCCTCTTCTAATTATGATGCTGCTGCTAGCACTTCAACTGATACTGGCTCTGTCAACGTCGATGCTAATGCTGTTATTATACCAGCTGATACAGCTACTCATCTACCGGCAATAATGCTGCCCAACGATGCTGCTGCTAACATTTCAACTGCGACGCCAATTCCTAACGCCCCTGCCTCTCAATTTTCTTCGCCTACTTCGGTTATTGTTGACAACCCTCCTGCAGTTGTTGGTAACCAAAACGAATGGAAAAGAGTGCAAAATAAAAAAAAGAACAAACGAAGAAATAATAATAAAAACCAATTCAACCGAGAACGCGCTCCCAACAATGATAATGCTGAAGCAGGTACTAGCTCAAATCCGGATAGTGCTGAAAGCAACAATAATGCTGCAATTGCAAATACCAACATTAGACCCACCCCAAATAATGGTAAACAACTTAATTTGCCTTTACTAGCGCAACCTTTAGTTGTTGGGTCGGCAATTCATGGTGATTTAAGTGCTGTTACGAAAAGGAAGTGGTTGCATATCTCGCCTTTCTCTGCTTCGGTTACATCCGAAAAATTAACATCGCACATTTCTCAACATACCGGGATAGACGAAAACTCTATCGTCTGTATTCCATTGGTAAAGGCTGGCGTGGATCCCAAATCTCTGCGTTATATTAACTTTAAGCTGGGCGTTGAAGCCAGCTCACTTCAAAAGCTATTGGTGCCAGAGCTATGGCCTACAAATATAGCTGTGAGGCCATTTAAATTTGGGTCAAAAAACGACGAGGTCCAACCGATGTCCAACGGCAATCGGTTGGGCCCGGTGGAACAATCAGTGGCCTAAAAATTTACATGCAAAACATGGCTGGTGTTAGAACAAAATCCCAGCTCTTGCGGCTATTCAGTTCACATCAGGATTATGATGTCTTCGTTATCATTGAGACGTGGTTAAATGAGAACTTTAATAGCGAGGAGTTCTTCGACCCCAAGCTTTATAATGTCTTCCGCAAGGATAGAAATGCCAACCTCACTGGATGTGCTAGAGGAGGTGGAGTTCTCATCGCAGTGCCCTGCAAACATCACGCTTCTGAGGTTGCACTTAATAATAATGATGCGCTGCTTGATCAACTTTGTGTTCTTATCCGAGGCACCTCAGACTCAATTTTTCTTTGTGCTTCGTATATTCCGCCCAACAGTAGCCATGACCTATATACAGCGCATGTCGACAACATCGTTGCATTGGCTCTGAACAAATTAGGAGGCGACCATCTTTGCGTGCTAGGCGATTTCAACCTTCCTAACATAAATTGGTCTCGGAATACTTCCAGTTCTTCATTAATAGCGAGTGATGTTACTAGCCTGAATGAAATATATTTAATAGATAGCTTTTTAAGCATTGATTTAGGGCAAATTACCCAAATCTACTTGGTCGCACCTTAGATTTAGTATTTTTAAGTAATAATTTAAACTACACATTGCTAAAATGCGATTCACCTGTGACGAAGTCTGACATGCATCATGTTCCGTTAGTCATAACTTTTGAATTTTATAAATTTGCCAAAGTTAGAAACGATACATCATATCTTTCTTTTAATTTTAAGCGTTGCAACTTTTTTGACTTGAACAATCTATTTCTAGAAATTAACTGGGATAGCTTGTTTTACAACTTAGACACTAACAGTTCTTTCGAGAAATTTAGAACAACTGTTGTGGATATTTGTAAACAGTCTATTCCTTTGGTTTCAAAAAAGAAGTACAAAGTTCCCTGGCATAATGCAGCCCTGACGAAAATTCGAAATCTGAGGAATAAGTTTTTCCGCAAGTTTAAAAATAGTAAAAATATGGTGTTCTTCGAAAAGTATAAAGAGTTTGAAAAGAAGTTCGCTTGTCTAGATAAATTTTTGCACAGAAATTACATTTTAAGTTTTGAAGAAAACTTAAAAACAAATCCAAAATCGTTTTGGAATTTTGTTAAGTCAAAAAAGTCTGTGTCGAATATTCCGTCCTCTCTCTTCCTTGGCGACAAAGCTGTTGATTCTCCTGCTGATGCGGCAAATCTGTTCGCTGAGTTTTTCATGGCCAACTTCGCGTCTGACTCTGATAACGGTGAGGACATTCGTTTCAACATACAACCTTCAATTGATTTTGGAAATCTTGAACTTTCTTCCGAAGATATCGTTAGTGGCATCTCTCGACTTAAACAGTCATCAAATACCGATGTTGATGGTCTGTCTGCAATTTTGTTTAAGCAGTGCGAAGCTCTTGTTTATCCTCTCTTATTAATATTTAATAGTTCCCTGTCCTCGGGCACTTTCATTGATCCGTGGAAAGTGGCTTTTGTTACACCTATTTTCAAGAGTGGCAATAAAAATGACATTAGCAATTACAGACCCATTTCAAAACTTTCCGCCACGTCAAAGCTTTTTGAATGCATCATCCAGGAAAAATTAATATTTTTCGTTAAGAATATGGTATGCCCAGAGCAACATGGCTTTCTTCCGGGACGCTCAACTGTGACTAACCTAGCTATTTTTTCTGATGACTGCATCGCAGCTTTTCAGTCTGGATGTCAGGTTGACACAGTATATACGGACTTTTCTAAAGCATTTGATCGGGTTTCCCATGTAGTCCTGGTCAATAAGCTTGCCTGTATGGGTTTCCACTCAGTGTTTCTAAACTGGATTGAATCGTACCTACGTAATCGCAGTTGCAGGGTCATTGTGGACAATGTCAGGTCTTCTCCTTTCGTTGCCTGCTCTGGTGTTCCACAGGGAAGCATCTTAGGTCCACTTTTCTTCTTATTGTTTATTAATGACATTCGCTCCTGTTTTTCTACAGTAAAATTTTTACTATATGCGGATGATTTAAAAATTTATTCACCCATTTACAGTCACCATGACTCTGAACTGATGCAATTAGATTTGGATAATTTAAGTACATGGTGTAATAGCAATCGGTTAACTCTTAATTTAAAAAAATGTTTTCAGATTACTTTTTCAAAACGCGTTAACGTCATTGAAGCCTCATACCATTTATCTAACTCGCCCCTTACAAGGGTTAGTGAAATAAAAGATCTGGGGGTAACTTTTGACTCCAAATTTACTTTCGCAAAACATATTAACCTTTGCATTTCGAAATCGTATGCCATGCTTGCTTTTGTTAGACGTCATAGCTCAGAGTTCACTGACCCTTATACGCTAAAGCTTTTATACACCGCGTTTGTGCGCTCTAAACTTGAGTACGCTTGTTTTATTTGGTCGCCTTATTATCAGTGCCATATTGCAAGAATCGAACGGATTCAGAAAGTATTTTTATATTTTGCTTTGCGCAGCTTACGCTTTTCTGAACCCATTCCGACTTATGAGTCTAGATGCCTATTGATCAACTTAAAGTCACTGCAGAACAGGAGAATAATTTTGTCGCTGTCGTTTATTTTTGACGTTTTTCGTGGTGCTACTGACTGCCCCATGCTCCTGGAGAGGATTTTCATAAATATTCCTGCCAGAGCCCTTAGGAACTCTGAGTTCTTCAACGTTCGTCTGTTCAAAGCTCTTTATGCAATCAATGCTCCTATTACTAGATCCTTGATTGAGTTTAATAGAATTACTAATTATTTGGAAATAGATTTTTCTTGTTCAAAAGAGTGCTTTTTAAATACAATAAACCCTCTTTATAAGTGAGCCATTTATGTATACTAGTAATTTGCCTACTGTTATCACATATTTCTACTTAGCCTGTAAGATTTTCTATTCTGATTGGCTTAATAAATAAATACTAAATACTAAAAATACTATATTCAAAAAAAGTGCAAAAATCCGACACCAAAAAAAAATCTCAAAAATAAACGGTATTTTATATGGATCTTAGGTAATTAGGCGATACTTAAAGCACTTAAAAAATACAAAAAACGTCAAAAAACTCAAGCACACTAATATCTAATTACCTATCATGTCCGCAGCCATGTCGTCCATCGTAGAGAGTGACATTCTTAATGGGCGCTTCCTTATAGTAATACACATAGCCCAGTATAATTTGTATATTATTAACAGTAAATGTATCTATTTTCAGGCGCACTGCTGTAGAATTGAAATCTTCAACTGTAACATTTAAGACGCCCAGAGGACTGCTACCTGAAAATTGTTTCGAAAAAAATAAAAATAATTATACACAAATGCACAAACAACAACTGCAACAGCATACAAATGACCCGTTCTCCATTTGAGTGTGGTGAAACATTTACTGTGGTAATAGGTTTGGCGCTTTTTAAAGACTTCTCAAGTTGACGAATTTTATTCAAACACAGTCGCGGATTGAGGTGAAAATAAATGCTGCCTTTTAATATGGCAACATTTTGATTTGGCGTCCAAATTTCAGATAAATGGTAATTATCGACAGCATAAAGTGCATACCTAAAAGGGAATTGGAAGACGTTTAGTTAAAAAATAAGTTGCGAGTTACCAAACAATATCCACCGAAATAACGAATAGATACTAACAAATCATCTATAAGCTCTTCACCGCGTATGGTGACTAAATTGCGCAAGAAATGCAGCGACAGCAACTGTGGTGAGTTTATGATTTTCAAATAGCCTGTGATTTCGGTGATATTAACCCAGATGTACCTAATGTACTAAATATAGTACAGCAAGAACATGAGCAGCATGCTCACATTTGAATGTGTGCAAAAGCGCGAAGCGTATTCAACTGCTCAGTACGCGTAAGGCAGTCATTCGAGATTGAACTCAAACAAAAGCTACAGTTAAAATTTTGTGTTTGTGTGCTTCAAAGTTAGACAAAAATAGAAAATGCAAAACTACAACATACGGTTTGAAAGGTAAGAGAGTATAGAATATTGTATTTATAAAGAAAATTTTTATTTCATTGGTAAGTGAAAGAAATATAGTGACACTTTCGGAGTGACATGAAAAATTAAGTTATTTTTGTAAAATTTCATGGATTTTGGATAAACAAATGAAGGTGTACTATATTTAGTACATTAGGAAAATATGCATTGTATTTTTTCGTTATGTCACAGGGGGATTTCTCTTCACGAAGTTCTTGCTATATTAGAGGAAGATGATACAAATGAAACTAGAGTTGAAGAAGTGTGTATTTTTCCACCAAATAATGCAACGGGTGATTTGACAGATGAAGACTCTGGGGATGAAGATTATATGCAGATGGATAACCTCCCAGCTTCACAACTACAGGCCCCAGCAGAAGTTGTATTTGAAAGAAAAAATGACGAGAGTACTTCTTCAGAAGACTCGGATGATGACTTACCACTGAGCCTACTACAAAAGCAAGAGAATGTTCGCAAATGCAATGTGAAAAGGCAAAAGAAATACAATTGGGTAAAAGAAGATTTGGCGGTTATTGCAACAGATTTCGAAGATTCTGAAGTTTTAGTGAACACCGAAAATCCGCTGGAACTTTTTTCAAAGTTCTTTGATGATGAAGTGATAGAACTTATTTTGTCTGAGAGTAACAAGTACGCGCAACAAAAAAATGTTAACGCAATCCTTGAAAAGCGTGAGATTTTGGCATTCATTGGAGTTTTGATTCTAAGCGGATATATACAGGTTCCAAGAAGAAAAATGTTCTGGGAACGCGAAAAAGACTGCCACAATGACTTGGTCTCAGAAGCAATTTCGAGGGACAGATTTGATTTGATTTTTTCAAATTTTCACGTGTGCGACAATCAACACTTGAACATCGATGACAAGTTTGCAAAAGTAAGGCCTCTGTTTCGTCTGCTGAATAAAAAATTCATGGAGAACTCACCAGTCGAAGAAATGCATTCCGTTGACGAGGCCATGGTACCGTACTATGGCCGTCATGGCTGTAAACAGTACATCCATGGAAAACCTATTCGTTACGGATATAAGTTGTGGGTCGGTGCCACCCGATTGGGCTATTTGAACTGGTTTGAACCATATCAGGGTGCGTCAACAAACATAAGCAAAGACTACGCTGATTTTGGTGTTGGTGGTGGAGTAGTGCTAGAATATGCACAAGCCTTACGTGCCAAGTGGCCAAACCGGAACTTCCATCTCTTTTTTGATAATTTTTTCAGTTCGATTCCTTTGATCGACAAACTAACTGAATGGAACCTATATTCAACAGGAACAATAAGAGAAAACCGGTTAAAAGACATTTCTCTAACAGATTCGAAGCATATGAAAAAAGATAAGAGGGGAAAGTATGACTATGCAAAAATCTCTGATCAAAATATAATAGCAGTGAAGTGGCATGACAATAATATGGTCTGCCTTATTTCTAATTTTGCTGGACTAGCACCGATCCATGCTGTAAAACGTTATTCACGACAGCAAAAAAAGAATATTCAAGTTGAGCAGCCACACCTCATAAACATGTACAATGCCAACATGGGAGGAGTAGATCGTTCAGATCAGAATATCAGCCTGTATAGAATTTCCATCCGAGGCAAAAAGTGGTATAACTGTTTGCTGGGTCACTGTATTGACATGGCTATACAAAATGCATGGCAGTTGCAGCGCAAACAAGGTGGAAACCTGGATCAGCTGAAATTTAGAAGGGTAATTGCAACAACATTACTGCTTCAAAATCGTAAAAACCCATCTTATCAAAGAGGACACGCAAGTAGCTCACAAGGAACAGTTTTACGATATGACCACCTTGATCATTTCGTTATTCCTCAGGATAAACAAACTCGATGTGGATTTTGCCACGAAAGGACCACGACCAGATGCTCGAAGTGTGACGTTGGAGTGCATGTAAAGTGCTTTATTTCATTTCATACTAAAAATTAATTTTCCTTTATTACAATGCATATCTCCCTAATGTACTATATATAGTACGGCCAAATACTCAAGGTTTATGAATAAAATGTTTTGAACTAAGTAGGCACATTTCTTTTTTATTACATTTGAAGCCCAAATTCAGTTAAATATTGTTGCTTTACTATCTCAATAACTTTTAGGGTTATCTGGGTTAACCAGCGCATTATCCAAGTCGGTGATTTTGGCTGAAATAAGATTTTAGATTTAATTTTTGTTCAATTTTATTAGCGACTAAGCGAACTTACTTTTAACATCGGTCAACTCTATGGTTAATGAACCATTTATGGTAATACAACCCTTTAAGCTTTCGAAATCATCTGCTGTATGTATGCTATATTTTCCAGCGCATAACAATTTACAGTATGTTTGGCCTTTTGCATCGACTTGGCTCAAATGGTTCTTGGGACATGTTTCCAAACAGCCTGAGTCAGGAGGGTGTGGTATCCAACCCATTTGGCGGCACTTGGCGGCGCTGATGCATTCGCGATCTTGGTACTATGGAACCGAGGTGGCAAAGGAATGATAAATAAGTACCAAGGATGGAGATAGAAAATTTTAAATTGTGCTTAATTATAGCGTACATAAATAGGTTAGATTAGAAACTAAACAATGATTTAATTTAATTTTATGAATTTTTTCGGGTCCAGTACAAGACCTTTCATAACCACTGTCCTGAGCCAGTCTGAAATGGTCCAGAAATAGTGCCAAACTGGTCCTGAAATAGGCATGAACTGGACCCAAGATGGCCATGTAGTAGTTTTGAACGATCGAAAAAGCCCTGAACTTATCCCGAAATGATTCAGAAACGTTTCTGAAATGGTCTCAAAATTGCTTAGAACCAGTCTGAAAAGGGTCCCCAAATAGTCGTGAACTGGTCCCGCAAGTATCCAGTATGGGTCCAAAAATTATCTCGAGCTAATCCCGAAAAGGTCCTAAACTAATCGTGATCCAGTGCAGAAATTGTCTTGCAATATCCCTGAAATAGTCCCGATATGTTCATTTGTACACACAATAAACAATTACAGATTTTTTGCTTGGTTAAACACGAAGCAGTTAAAAATTTTCTGCTGGGGGAACGCAAATTTTACCTATACCGAAAGCTAAGCTGTTTACACATCAAAAATTGTTTACATTTACTCCAAAAAATAAAGAGATATGCAAATGCTTTATACAAGGTACATTGAACAGGTAGTATCAGTAGAGCAGCTGATTTGATTTATTTTCAAATTATTTGGTCTCGAAAATGTCAAATATTTTTAATTTTTTCTCACAAAAATTCTGAATTGTTAAAATCCATTTGCATGTGAAACCTTTTTCCATACAAAACAAGCGATTGAATAGCAGCTTTTGGAACGTTCGCCCAACTCGGCAGCACGACCGCGGATTACTGGGCCTTGCAAAGGATGGATCAATGCTTCGAGAAGCAAACAAATTTACTAGGAAAGAAAGTTGCATAAATTTTTATTTTTTCCAATTTCAATTTTTTATTTTTTATAATTTTTTGTATTTCACATGGCACGCTTTGATTTAGAAGAAAAAATTCAGAACAGTTTTTGACACTTTCGATACCAGAAGCAACAACAAAATACACGCAAATGTTGTTTTTGCTCTACTGATACTACCTGTTTAATGTGCCTTGGCTTTATATATATTTATAAGATTTAATTTTCAAGATAAGAGTGAGATCTCTCTGCTAGAGGCCTTTCGATGATCTTTGGAAACTTCGACGTCATACCTCAAGAAATGTGTTGGGCGCCGGCTTCAAAGGGATTTTTTTCCGAATATATCTCTAGAAATGCATGAACCGATGTTGTATGGCCAAGTTGTGCTCACGCAAGAATTCCCTATAAGCATCAAGTTTAGGCTTTCCGGATTTCTGCAAAGCTAGCAGCTCTTAGTTCGAACAGGAATCATGATCGTATTTTTTTTTTTAATTTTATAATTTTTTTTTTGGAACTTATGTATGTATATTTTATTTGTTTGTTTTTTATTTAAAGTTTTCTATTTATTTTTAGATTTTAGAATTTCAACTGTGAAAACGAAAATACTTTTATCGAAAGTGTATCCAAAGTTTAGAAAATGTATTTTAAAAAGAGTTTTTTTTTTTAAATGCAACAATTTTTATTGAGCTTGAGGCGGTTTTTAATGAAAAACTGATTGTGGAAAAGCAATAATAATTTGAAAAAATGCTAGAAGTGATAGCTATTTCGGAAATCACATCAAAAAAGGAAAAAAGCAACGATAATTTACAAGACGAACTTAGCACAGTGCGCAGGCAACTGGCTGAGTCAGTGGGATCGTGGGTTCGAATCCTACTGAAAGAAGTCTGATAAGGAAATGTGGTGATTTCCGAAATAGCTATCACTTCTACCATTTTTGCAAATTGTTGTTGCTTTTCTTACTCAAGCGGTATCACATAATGATACTCGCGAACAACATTAATTTTTCCCCTCCCAGCTCAAGGGTTAAAAAGAATTTTTGTTTATCTTATTTAATTTTTAGAAACTTGTTTTAATGATATTTTCACTAATTTTTTTTCGTTTTAAATTAAATTTTCTTTTAATGTGGAAAAATTTATTTGATTTTCTTATTTTTTATTTATATATGTATTTATTTCCCTCTTTAATTTAGTTTTAAGATTTAATTGTTTTAGAACTTTTTTTGTTAGTTTCAATTAAATTTCATTTATTTTTTCTGCTTTTCTTTAATTATTATTTTTTCTTTTATTATTTAATTTTCTTTTGATTTTTCGGTTACATACTACATAAAATATTTTAAAAAGAAAAATATTTTTTAATTTAATTTAATTTTTAACACCTTTATATCACAGAAATTTTTTGGTTTTCTTTATTTTAATAATGGTTTTTCTGTTTTAATCGAGATTTTTTTGTTTTGGGTTTTTTTTTGTTTTAAAAAGCACAATATTTTTTAAATATAATTTAATTCTTAGAAACCTATTGTGATAATTTTTTATTTTTTTAATTCAATATTTTTTTGTTGATTTAATTTTCCTTTGCAAACTTTCTTTTATTTAAGCTAGTTTTTAGAAACTTGCTTTATTAAGTTTCTCTTTTCTTAATTTAATTTTTTCCTTTTTTAATTAAATTTTTAGTTTTTAATTTTTGTTGTTTTAAAAAGAAAAAGACATATATACATTTATAATTCCAGTTAATTTTTAAAAACTTACTATATTTCAAAATTTTTAACCGACTTCAAAAAAAGGAGGAGGTTATAAAATGATCGGAATATTTTTTTATGTATATTACCGCATAACTTCGGACCACGTCAACCGGAAAGGTGGTGCCTCAGGGGTAGTTTCATACTAATTTGTAATTTGTAATAAGATCATTGGATCATTAGAAAATAACGGTACACGTAAATTTTTATATGCGAATTGAAGTCGGCTGTGTTTTTTGTTTAAAAACTACTTGTTTCCTTTTTAAAAGTAAAGTATATTTTTTACATTTCGTTTAATTTTTAGGAACTTATTTTATTTCTTTTCATTTTAATTATGTTTTTTCTTTTTAAATGGAATTTCTTCCAATTTTTTAATGTTATTTTTTTGATATCATATTATTTTTATTATATTTTTTTGAATACATTTTTTTATTTATTTACTTTCCTTCTAATTATTAGGTTTTATTGTTTAAAAAATAATTTTTTTATTAGAAAAAATATGTAGATATTTTTTATTTAATTTAACCTAAGGCCTCCTCGTTAGCAGATCTTTCAAGTAGACTTTGGAAACACAAAAAGGAGCTTTTAAGATAGTTGCTGGAATTGACAATTGTCTTACGAAAAACTTTTGTTTTAATAAAATAATACTAAGCGAAAAAGCATTAAATTCAGTGTAGCAAACCCGGACTTCAATAGAAAGTTTTGGTAAAAACGGAAAATATTTATGTAAGTATTTTGCGTATGCACAAAAAAAAGGACTGCTCTGGAAAAAAGTGGTAACAACAAGAAATTTTGGGACGCACCTGATAGTAGTTCTGTGGACAAGCGTCCACACATTGTCGCTCCATGTTCAGATTCGCGCACAACACGCAGTTCGTGCCGTCGCAACCGCTCAGACAATTACGATCACAACAGCTACCATTTTCATCGCAGCCACGCATGCCGCAGTCCGACCGACAATTGACAATATTGCTTGTATCAGGCCGTCGTTGTGGCATATTAAACTTCCAGCAATGCTTACGCAACTTCTCCGGAAGATCTTCCTCGACGATAACTTGCCTGGTGCTGCGAGCGCATTGCGTACAGTGATTGTGCAATTTATTATTCTGCAATGAGTGGATGAAAAAAAAAAAATAAAACAAAAACAAATATATAACCCGTTGCTACAGTTCAAATTCAAAAATGCAAACCTTATGCCAAAAATGCTGCTGCGTGCTATTGCCCAGCAGCTGTACCCAGTTCACCGTATCCACATAGCACAAAGATGGATTACTTTCAATGCGTATATTACCCTTTTGTATGCGTAGCAATGACTTCAGGCCCAAATCTTGCAAATCGCGATTTTCATACACTACCAGCGCAAACTCATCGAACAACAATTGACGGCCGCGTATAATTTGTAGATGTGGAAATATTTGCTCCAAACTTCGTAGGCCATGCACACGATGAACCAACAGATAATCGCTAATCTCCGTCACGGTGGAGGCGAATTGCCGCGCGGCAACATCGTTGGGCGTCATTTGCAAGTGCGCCAGCCACACATGCCCCAACACGCGCGTACAATTCTGTAGCAATGCAAAATCCTTCCTTGTGCGCACCTCAATGGAATTGCATGTGCGGGGCGGTGTTGGCGACTCCGGTGGCGTGTTACTCGTACTAGCAAAAGGGCGGGCAGCAGCGTCGGCATACACTTTGTCTGCCATTGCGATGGGTGCATCTCTTTGTACGATTGCCGCCTGCAGGATGAGCGCCCAAAGCAGCAAAACAAAGAGGCTGCGTTGTAGTGTTGCAGGTACTATATCCAGATGTTTTGCCATTGTCCCCGTGGGTGAATGTCTGCCAACTGCAGTTAGTGCATTGCCAGCTGACGCGGTGGCAACTGAGAAAGGCGGCGGCGGCGGCGTCGTCGTTGTTGGATGGTTGGGTTGGTTAGAGAACTTGTTTGCCGTTATTTTTTCTATAGTACTGTACTACAGACATGTGTAGATATGTATGTTCGTTTGGATGTAATTCAATTAAGAGCTTGACCTCGCCGCTGAGTAATGTCAACATAAGATGAAGAGTGCGCTTCACTGTCGTTGTCGTCGTCGTCGTCGTCGTCGCAGTTGTTGTTGTTAAGTGAGTGATAATTACAATGCTATTGGCAGCTTGGATGACATCAATTTAAACAAATTTATTTTATTCACGTTTCACTTTTCTAGGAAGTCTTTCAAAATAGTTAGAACTATCGTGTTATTCCGTAATTAACGCTTAGATTTCGAAGCGCGCGCCAACAAAGTTGAAATTGAACTGTTTGCAATTGATCGTTGAACTGAGGCGAAAAGCTCCCATCGATATTGTTGTTATAGTTTCTCCAACAGATATTCAATTAAGCGCTTCGAATGAAGGAAGTTACTGGAAAGGCGAAGGTGTTCGCATGGTTGAAAGAGAAAAAATATATGAGCGAAGGGAATGCACGCCATTATTATAAAGGTGAGCTCAATCACTTTACTCATCTGCAAAGTATTTTAAAGTAAGGCAAAGAGCATCGAAGTACCGAATGTTATATTTGTTGTTGTGTGATAGAGCGCGCGTTTTTTGTTAACCAATGCTCCTACTTGGCTGCATTATTTTGCAGAATCTTCTGTGATCGAAGTACATATCGTCGGTGATACTGCAAAACGGTCTATGTCTATTAGTAACCTTGACATTTAGATGGTCTCTTACGTGCACCGGAATGCATCTGTAAATCTTTACACCCAAATAAACGAGTGATAAAACTGGCTACCTTTCGCTGAAGAAGATGAATGGTTGCCAGAAGCGATCAGATACAGACAACAGATCAATTAAGCACCAGTGGTAATAAGTGACATAGAACGTTTTGCAATATCACCGACGATATGTACATACATATGTATGTGGCGGTTTTTGGCCACTTGCTTATGCGTGTTGGAACCGGTTCCGGCAATGAGAAAATTGTGCTCCTTAAAATTTGCTTAAAGGAGAAATCCGCTTGTGAGCTACATTTTGAATTAACCCTGGAAATAATGGAAAATGAGTCCGCTTGTTGCCGGTAGGCCAAAGTTGGGTGCTGACTAAATCTTAGGTGGCAATTTGTCTGCTGTTGCAAAAGAAAGTACGACTCAATAACTGCACAAACTTAATTGAGTGCAGTTCAGTTGTGCTAGGTACATATGTATTCAGCAGTTAGTACTTTTTGGACAGTTAACTGAGCAAAAATAAAAAAATCTGATTTTTGCTCAAACTCGAACAAAACTCTAGGTTTGCGCGATTATAATTGAGCCGTATATTCCCTCCTTAATGCAATTGTTTTAAAATTCATTTTAGCATCATGCAAGGGCTAACTTGAGTGATTGGGTGAGTGAAAAAATGAGTAGGTAAGTTTTTTACTTCTGCACGCTGTCGCGGCTCAACAAATTTAGATTAAATTTAGCACACAGTTAGTTAATAAACTCGGCTAATGTGTATGCAGATAATTTTACAAACAGTGTTGCCAGCTATTTAAAAAGTGAAGTCCACTTCAATAAGTAAGTTAAATGAAATATTAAAAACAAAAAATGCCAATAAAAGCCTTATAGAAAAAAAGTTTATCTGAAGAGGGTTGCCATCTGTTTAAAAGTGAAATTCAATTAAACTAATAAGTAATTCGAAATATAAAAATATGCATGCTTAACGGAGAGATTTACAAAACATTTATTTAAAATACATTTATTTCGAAAATAGTTTCGAGTGGGTTGCCATATGTTTAAAAAGCGAAATTAGGTTATAGTAATGTGGGATATGAAATACAGCAATAAGGATGTCAAACGAAAACGGTTGATGAAAGCTTTATGCCAAATATAATTTTAAAGAGGGCTGCCACCGCACAGTGTGAGATTTAATCAATCTGGCATCTCGAAATTCAAAAAGAAAATGTTTTCGTAACTCGCTCATATTTTTTTTTACGTGAGAAGAGACCCCAATTGTTACGAAAACAAACACAAAAGAGAATAAAAAAATGTTATTGGCGTGATAACAGCTATCAAACACGTGCAATTGCATAGCATGCTAGAATTGATTTGCAAGCTTGCATTGATCACAAAAGTTTGAGTGATCAGGTCGAAGTTGTGAGTGGTTTTTTTGGCCTAAAATATTTTTTGTATTGAAGGTTATTACTTAAACTTAAAATTTTTGTTTTATACAATATTTATTTTTGCACTCAAGTATTTTGAAAAAATTGTTTTATAACCACCTGAAAGGTAAGACAAATTTTAAAGTTTTCAAATATTTGATAGACTAGAACTTCCAAGTTCCACGGAGTTCCGTGATGGGAATGCCAGCAGAATCTTTGTTAATGTGCCCAAAACAAATTTAACAAATAAAATCCTGCCCATTTTTTGCCTTTTTTTAGTATGAGTAAAATATCGCGAGAGGAGCTATTTTGGATTTGGTTGAGCAAGGTGAAAAGCGAAAAAACAGAAGCGGTCGAAAAGCACGTTATATCAATTTTTGGACCAGATGTTGACGATACCAAAATTAAAGATCGTATAAAAAAGCTTTGCTTCCAATTTCAATCGCGATGGAGCAAATCTCACCGTGATAAAGCAAGATTTATGCATGACAATGCTATTTGGCTAAGTTCAAAAATTTCTGCTGTTGATTTTGCTCTTGATCACGCACCATCAACTTCAAAACAAATACCTCAACGCGGAAGGCGAGAAAAAGAGTTTGCTGAAAGTGCTTCGAGTACACAAAAACGGAAATGCAAAGAGTTAATATCAAATGTAGCTTCGGAACAATTAACTATGGCTACCGCAATGCATCTGAGATCCTGTGGAAAAAGAGACTCAGCAAACATTGTCAAAGAGTTGTCGGCTTCATCCCCTTCGAAAGGGTACAGCTATAAAAAGAGCAAGGGTAAGCATTACTGAAAAGAAAAGTCTTACACCAGATGAAGCACTGGCCATGATCGTAGACGAAAATTTATCAACTGAGCAATACCGTGGAATACGATTGCATACGATACCATACAGTCCGAAATTGTATCCATGCTATGACCTCGTTAAGCAATCAAAATTATTGTGCTACCCAAGCCTTGTTACTGTTACTGAAACATATGCCGAAATCAATTTGCAATCCTTAATAGACCACACGGTGAAAAGATTAATAGATGCACAATATGAGGTTTTTACGTCGTTCCCTGCCATTCAGCTGAGATGGAGCTGAACAGAACCGTTACAAGCAAAAATTTTCGGATGACAACATGTCAGACGAAAGCATGTTTTCTCTTTCGATGGTGCCTCTTCAACTTAACTCTGGAGCTGAAGGAAGGAAACATATTTTTTGGCAAAATCCAGCTGCGTCTTCGACAAGATATTGTAGACCGATCAAATTTATTTTCACGAAAGAGACGCGTGAGGTCATTAAAGCGGAAGTGGAGCATATTCGGCAGCAAATTTCTGTTTTGAAACCAACTAGCTTTGAGCTTCACGGTTATAGTTTCACGGTTAAAGCCAATTTAATAGAATAATAATAGAAAAATGGTACGTATCAGGCGATGAAAATAAGGAGAGCGTTGCAAGAAGGAAGAAAAAAATACAAGACAGGTTTAGGAACGAAATGGGTCTTCTTGTGGATATGCCGAAACAGAAAACAGGAAACACAAATGATGGCAATACGGCCAGAAGATTTTTCAAAGAAGCAGAAAAGACATCGGATATTGCATAAATGTCGATCTGATCAAGCGGTTTCGAGTAATACTTATTTGCATAAACAGCGGCTATTTTATCAATATAGATGCGTTCCAAAATTTTACGTCAGAAACAAGAGAGCTTTATTTGAGTTTATATCCTTGGTACTATATGCCAGTAA